TCTCTCTCTCTCTCTCTCCCTCGTCTCTTTTACAACTATGTCAGTAAACTTCCTTTTTTAATCCATACGTTTTTATGCATCTTTACAAAGGCACACACCTACGTAGAAAATTATAGAATTTCTCGCATGTCTCTGTAATCCGATAACAATTCAAAGGAAATTTCTGAATTAAACAATCCCACCCATTTTTTTGTTTCTTTAGAACCACACAAAAGTACACACCTGGGACAGCTAAGGAGTCACAGTAATTGTCTCAACAGTGGCCTGTATACCAAAACTTTTCATATTCTGAAGGAAGTTATTTCAGGAGTGTGTAATTTCTTAAGATAAAAATACATCTTTGCTTTTATTTTCATAATATTATAGTAAGTGCCTTCTGAAACAATATGATCCATATTCACCATGGTCATTTTTCTTTCTTCATTCCTTTGAAAAAGGCATGCAAGTCAAGCGAGGTTGTCCTCCTAACCAGCAAAGATAAGATCTATGTTGAAGTCAGCTTAAGGCTCAAGTCGAAACAGCGAAAGGTCACATAGATGTAAATGTTTACAGAGGTCAGTCAACCACAGCCTTACACGCATTACAAGTTATAACCACTTAGTATACATTTGGCCGTTTAAAGGATCTAACCAGTTTGGATTTTGTTGACAACAATTGATACCTTAAACGAAACACACTTCTCTCTGATAAAATAATATATTAAATGCTTTCGTTAGGCCTCCCTTCGTCATGAGCACGAAAGTCGTAAATTCACGAAACACCCACGGAAAATGGCCAATGTCTAACTTCTGTGAGGGACACAGCACGTTGTTCCACTTACAGGTCAAGGATTGGAATGTTCTCTCTGTCTGCTCTTCGTCACAGCCAATTGTTATGGTTTTTTGAAAGAGTTTTCTATGCCCTTGTGGACACAGTTTAGATATTTTAGAGACGGGCACCTTTGGCTACCAGAAAGAGACAACCAGAGTTGAGTGGGATGCATTCCAATAGACGGACCAAGATATTCGATAACATACTTCCCTCACGTCGAAATCGAACTCGTGTCTTCTGGCTGCCACACGAAGACCGAAATCTTCCAAAGGCCGAAGGTACCACTAGCAGGATGGCCTGTCCTTTTGGCATAAAACCATTTTGCTTAAAATGTCTTTCACGAATGGTGATCATCGGAGCACTCTGGATCTACTGCAAAGTCTTCTGAACATAACTTTGGCATCTTGCCTGAACGATTGATTCAGAAAGCTGTAAATCAGTGGGTTTATCGCGTTGTTGATGAAGAATGACTTCACGCAAAATTTATAAGCCAGCTCTCCAAGAGGGCTCAAGCCGGCCTCCAAGTCTTTGATCAGACTTCTCATTACCATGACAATAAGATAGGGCAAGAAGCTCAAGATATACGCCAGTGTGACAGCGAACAAAACGGTAGTCGTCTTGCCGACTCGAATCTGACGTGGCGAATTGTTACGAGAACCCTTTTCACTGCCTTGTCGAGAATGAGAGTAATGCTGCTCCTCCTCATCACCACTCTGAGCTTGCTGTTGCTGTTGCCGCTGCTGTTGTAGCTTTTGTTGCTGGGCTTTGAACCGGTTGCTGTTGTGGTGATTGTGGTGGAAGTGAAAGAGAAAACCCTTGAATTTGTTAGGTGATCGAGGGCTTTGCTTCTTTTCCGAGGCACCGCTGTGTGCCGGCAGCTTGAGGCTGTCGGTGGAGAGGGCGAGTGTGCGGCAGGCACCGATCGCTATGTTTCTCTGCATGTTGCTCATCACCTGATGGGGGTGGCTTGTGTGGCTCAGAGTGGATGATGCGGTCGAGTGACCGTTGCCGTCTTCTTGACCGGAGGACATGTCCGAGCTGGACGGTTCTGGCATCTGTTGAAACAGAAAGATTGAGTGAAATACTTGCAAAGTGTATATGGATGTGGAATGTAAGATAGACTTTGAAAGCATGTATTATGTTTGCTCGATCAGCGGAATCGTTGTCACATATGTTTGACTATTCCTTTGTTTGCAATGAACATATTGTGAATTGGTTTTCCTTTTCGCTTCTGTTCTTATCTACTCATCGTATTAAATATGTTCATATTTATTATGAAATACTTAATAATAGCATTCGATTTTGTTTCTATTTCTGAGAAAATAAGTCGATTCTCAATAGAAAGGAAACGAAAACAATTCAGTACTCGACAAAGCAAAATACGGTTGTCAAGCTGAGAGCATTAACTAAACAGTTACAGTTTTTTAAAAACAAATATAATATATTGACGGGCCAGGGGTTTACAAAAATCCGAATATATTTTTTTCCCAAATTAGGAGAAATTCCCTTCAATTGTCAAACAATTTACTGTCTGAAACACACCTTGATCTGGTGGGTTATTAGAGGGCAGCACTCGTAGGTCCTACTTCTTTTCTTATCCCTTTTCGTGCCCGTTTTTCCGTCTTATCCTACCCCCCCCCTTCCCCTCCGTACTTAATTACTGTAATAAAAATTGTGTCGATGTGCTTCTTTTGACACAAACTTTTGCTCCCAACGAGTTTCTCATTTAATAGTCTCAAGTATACTGCCATACATAAACACTACAATAAGTGAGGCAGCGTGGTGGAATCAGGCTCTCGTCAATTTTTGGGCATGTAGTGTTATTGGTATCATCTTAAAGCTTATTCCCTTGTCTTTATGTGGATGGAAAAAAATATACTTTTATCTTGAATGCAAGTGCTTTCAGAGTTAAAATTAGTGAGAAAATGGCCGCCAAAGATTAGTTATTTCCTTTGCTTAAGAGTCCGTGGTAACTGAAAATTTACATTTTAGTGCCTTTAATCTACGCTTTTCAGAAAAATCCACACAGAAATTAGTTCTTTAATGGGCATAAAAGGTGTGGAGCCAAAAACAAAAAATTGATAAAAATTCACAAACCTGCTGGAAAAATGCAAGTTTCTTCACTTTGATTATTTTGACTCCACCTCGCTGCCTTAATGAATCCCACAAACTAACTTACCGTCACTTTCTTGACCTCGGGGTGGTCGGCCCTGGGCACCACGGAACTGCTGGAGCCCACACTGAGCCGCTTCCTGTGCAGGATGGTGAGTCCGATCTTGGAGTAGAGGACGGCAAAGAAGGCCACAGTGATGAAGAAGAGCGTGAAGAGGAAGGCGTAGTAGATGGCGGGGTAGATGGTGCCGCGCATCGAGTCGTCGGTGGAACAGTCCGTGCCGCGGAGGATGTAGCCGCGGATGTGAACGGTCACTGTCTTCCTGGAAACATAAGAACAAAAGACAGGTTAGGTATGTGATAGCATTAACCTTTTCGATGTCGCTTTTAGTGTTGCGCTGATTATTTATTTACGTTTTATCATTTTAGTGTGTGTTTTTTTGTTTATTCAATTTGTTTCATTTTTGTTTGTTAATTCAAGTCTGAAATAAAAAGCATCGTGACATCGGCACCCAACGAATGGACGCAAGTAGAACAATGACAACAACAACCCCAACAACATTAACAAAATGCAAAAATAATGTAATGGTTGTTGTTGTGAAGTTATGTGAGTCCTCAAACGGCAAAGACTCGATATAACAGTAACTAATGTATCATTATGTAAGCCGAAATGCAAAACTGAGAGGGAAACAACTGACCTGCCGAAGAGAAGACACGACGGCCAGGAACAGAGCAGGCCCAGTACGACGGCGCCGAAACACAAGAACCGAGCCTTGTTGGCGGTGAACTGACGGCCCAGCTGACAGATTCTGTAGTATCTGTCGAAGGCCACCTGTAGAAGGGAACATTAAATGATTAGTCTTAACAAATAAATATTGGTGCCTAATTACTTGAAGGCAGTACATGGTTGCTGGGGAGTAGAGAGTGCAGAAAACGAAGATATATAATAAATGATATATTATTGTAATAATATATCCAACGGAATATACGTCAAGTAATTATAAACATTTTATTCGCCATCGACACTATTTACATAGTGCAGAGGATGTCAGAATACGACCATCGCATTTTATGAATGAAGGTAGAATTGGTACTGTAGAGAGACAAAGGGGAAGAGCGGGAGAAGTGGGGGCGGAGGTAGGACAGGAAACATACGAAAATAAAGCGCCAACCACTTAGGAAACGTTTAATTGTTTGACTAACAAGTTCTGTAGTGACTGCAGGTGCTTTCAGGATGGAACTGTTCGTCAGTCTACCCTTTCTCCAACACTCAAGATCATTAATATCTTGTCGCCGTGCTTTGTCGACATAATATAAACAAATAAACAGATAAAGAAACGAACACGCAAAACGTTCATGTCTCACCTGTATCAGAATGGTGCTGCTAGCGATGATGGTCGTTGAATGGGTAAAACGTAAGATCTTGCAAGCTAGTGGCGACTGGAAGGTGTAGGGCAGCACCAGATCGGCGATCTCAGTAGGCATACCGACCACACAGGTCACAAGGTCAAGGACGGCCAGGGACAGGATGAAGTAGTGAGAGGAGGCACGGGAGGTACGTTTCCAGTACACCAGACAGACCTGTTGGTGGAGAGAGGTGTTGCCAGGTCACATTGGTGTTTACTGAATGACATTAAGTAACAACGAGTGCTGTTTGACGTGATTCAGTAAAAACAGCAACAAAAAATCAAACAAAACAAACAATAATAGCAAACAAAACCAAACTAACAACAAAAAACCTCGTCATAAATAATAAATCCATTTACTATCCCTGCTTCTTATTTTTGTGTGTCTACTTTTGCCTTTAACGTTTATTTACTTCTTGGAGTTCTGGGGTTTTGGGGCCAATCGCACGTTTTGTACTGGGATAGTTCGTTCCTTGTAGGCTTGTTATAGTGCAGAAACACTTCCCACTGTCAGTTTTAAAATGTCTTTGTGCAATGCCTTAGATGCTTTTGATGAACTAGACTTGTTAGATGCATAACCATGGCAATGGAGGTATACGTGTGTCTCACTAACAGTCCACCCAAAACTTCAAATAGAAATTCCTGATCAGAAGAAAAAATGTTTCATCATTATTGCTGGAACGTAAAATGTGCATACATTGGGGTAAAGTATAAACAAGACACACACACACACACACACACACACACACACACACACACACACACACACAAACACACATAGACACACACACACTTATGCGTGTATGTGGTAGAGCGTTATATAAATGTAATTCATTGAGAGACGAACACAGAGTAAAAGAGATATATAAAGAGAGGAAGAGATAGAGAGAGGGGAAACGGAAGAGAGCTGGAGGAAGAGAGAGAGAGAGAAAGAGAGAGAGAGAGAAAGAGAGAGAGAGAGAGAGAGAGAGAGAGAAAGAGAGAGAGAGAGAGAGAAGGGGGGGGGAGAAAGAGAGGCGGAAAAGGAAAAGGAGAGACGATAAGATACCTTGATGACGACTACACAGACAACAACAATAACCACCACCACTACAACAACCCCAACAATAAAAATCAATAATTACTCAACAACATTAACAACAAAAAGAACATGACCAACAATAACAACAGCAGCTGCAGCAGCACCAACACCAACGTACCAACAAAAACAATAAACAACAACAGCAACAATAATATTGACATCTAAGATAAATTATTTTATGATAGACTAAGTCTAAAGTCGTTTTGAAGGAGTCTGAAAGTGAGACCAACCAATAGTACCCAAGAAAAGAGAAGTTCCCAAGACGTTCGCTTATTATTATTATTATTATTATTATTATTATTATTATTATGATTATTATTATTATTATTATTATCATTATTATTATTATCATTATCTAATGGCAGAGCCACTCACTCACCGTGGTATTCCCGATGGCCCCAATGACAACGAGGATCGCGATGAACACCGTGACAGGCAGGTACAGCCTCGCCTTGACGTCATTCAGACATGACAGACGTTCATAAGTCGTGTTGTAAATCAGACACGCCAATTCGTCCTCCGAAGCCGTCATTTTGAAAGGTTGGATTTGGGGTGTCAAATTTCAAATTTGTAGATTTCACAAAACTTTCCAAACTTGAGAATGAGTCAAATGTCAACTGTTTTAGTTCATGAAATTATAACACTAGATATTCAAATACAAGGGTGAAATAAACGACACTCTGTACTTCACTTCACAATTCTTTTTTGCAAACTTCTATTCTGAAACGTCAGACTTTTGTAGTTGCTTAAAAACCAATCAAAATTCTGGCATGGTAATACAGGTGATGTAGGTTCTCTGAATTTTGAGTACAAAATGTCTTGTGCAGCTTTGTTACTTCTGATCCAATCGACAAATGGAGAGAGGAGAACCAGCAAGGCGCTCACGACACTCTGTCTGATGTTTTGCTCCGGAATGTTTTGGCCGACCTGTCTCAGGTTCACACGCTATTGACTGGAAAATTCTGTTTTGGAAAAACGTTTGAAATCCTCGGTGTTCAAAAATAGTCAAAACAGTCACGAACTGAGGAGAAAACAGCTTAGAATATCAAGAGTCCACATCCGACTGATCTAGGTGTTCAGCGTCACCAAGACGACGATAACACAAGATTACGGCTATTTCTGCTCACGTTGAGAGTTTTATATCGACTGGCACTCCTAACTGAATCCGTTGGTTTTATACCGAGTGCTTCGCGCCAAATCAAGAATTCTGATTCGCGCAAGATTTCTGCGATGCTCGCATAAGATCCGTTGCCAACCACTTCTGCCCCCCCAACCCAGTCTGAAGAGAAGTGGACTGCCCCACTCCCTCCAAGGTCCTCTCGTCCACAGCGATGAGGCAACAACCCCTCGCCGCCCTGCGGTTCTTCGTTTCTCTATTCACGTACGTTACGACCGATGCCTGGCTGCTGAGTTTCACGTAGCTACGGCATAGTTCATTTCGAGTCGCATGTCGTGAGCTGGCCAATACACTGGACTGTCACACCGTCAGCGGGAAAGATCAAGAGGGGTTCAAAACGATTGCGCTGACTCAGACCAGACCTCTTGAACGCCACACTTTAAAAAAATAGGAGGGAGCAGCTCTGAACATTGGTCTTTCCTCTCTAGAGGAACTGCTACGTGACGCTGTTCCAGTGCAGTGCGCACGTCCATTCTCTATAAAAACGGATAAGGAAGGGTTTGAGTACGTGTAGGCTACTCTTTCTACGTAACTCTGATTTTCAACAGGAACCATTTCATGATAGGCTGAAACATATCCGTTTATTAAAAGGATATGCCAAACTTAAAAACTACACCGAGATGAATATAGATCTGTTACGGTCTCCTTATTGATACAGTGCATACTTCTAAAGGCCAAGGATAAACCAGAAATGAGTTCAAACCTGATTTTAAAATGGGGAGGAAAATTGGGCATTTGGTTAACTGGGATAAGGGATGAGAGGGTCAATTTTCGAAGAGAAAAAAAGGAAAATAAAACAATTATTTCTGAATGGCATCCATACGTTACAAAAATTATGGTTGTAGCCCATATAGATGGATATATAATAGATAGATAGATAGATAGATAGATAGATAGATAGATAGATAGATAGATAGATAGATAGATAGATAGATAGATAGATAGATAGATAGATAGATAGATAGATATGGAACATTATCAGTCTGCTCCTCCAGTTCACTGTTCCCCCCCCCCCCCCCCACCCTTGTCGTTTTCCTTCTTTTCTCTTAATCTTCATTTCTTAGGCTTTCATTCTGTCAAGACCTGCATTTAAAAAAAAAGAAGACAGCTTATATTATGCATTTATCTGACACACAGATTTTCCTTTCAAGGTTGGTCTCTGTAAAAATATAATAATATACTCTAAATAGTTGTCTGTGAATAGTTCTCAATCGCGCAAACCTGCCCCCAAGTGTGGCGGAGGTTTCTGTTCCTACTGTTCCTCAACAATATTATCGCAGCTTCAATCGAGTGGGTTTTCTGTTGCCACTTGAGGAACATAGCCCATGACGTTGGTCTCACGCCTTGTCAAGATTCTGTCTCCGTGAGAAAATTCTACAGAGCATTGTGATGTGCTGACCTTCTTACAAGACTTCTTCTGTTTCTCTCCCTTAGCACATTTTGTCAGTGACCCGACAGCCTGGAGAGCTTGTTGTGCAATCGAGCATGCAAAGAAAATTGAATTTTCGTTCCTTTTGAAATTGAACCTAAAATCTCGGTTGTTTTGACAACGGTTTTGTTATTTTCAAAAATTTGTATTTTATTATTATTCTAGCCCATCGTAAGCTGTCTAATCAGGCAAATGTCCTTTTTACTAAATTAGATAGAGTAAAAATATAAATAAATAAAGAAGCAAGAGAGGAAAAAAAAGAGAGAAAGAGAGACCGCTAGAGAGAGAGAGAGAGAGAGAGAGAGAGAGAGAGAGAGAGCGCTAGAGAGAGAGAGAAAGAGAGACCCCTAGAGAGAGAGACAGAGAGAGAGAACGAGAGAGACACACACACACACACAGAAAGAGAGAGAGAAAGAGAGAGAGAGAGAGGGAGAGAGATCGAGAGAGAGAGAGAGAGAGAGAGAGAGAGAGAGAGAGAGAGAGAGAGAGAGAGAGAGAGAGACCGCCAGAGAGAGAAAGAGAAATTGGAATATTAAAACATGGACCTTACTAAACTATATAAACAGTTTATATATATATTATATTGTACAGTATATATATACACTTACATAAATAATTATAAACCCTCGACAGCTTCTAGTACTGACACCAGGTGTCCACACTTCAGGAAAGAACCGCAACTGATGACTTCTCCAACAGCCTAGCATCTTAGTCAAGATGGGAAGTGCACTGGTTACTGCCACTTCAACCTCACACTTTCCTCAGCGAAATAACGAACTTGTCTTCTGTCTTGCACGCCGGGTGAAAAGGAAGGAAGGAAGGAAGGAAGGAAGGAAGGAAGGAAGGAAGGAAGGAAGGAAGGAAGGAAGGAAGGAAGATGGAAGGGCGGAGGGGAGGAAGGGAGGAAGGGAGGAAAAAAAGCGTCCACCACCTAAAAATAAACGTTGTGAGAAATAATAATATTAAGAACAACTTTTTTTGCAAGCTGTCTTTCGATGACATCGCGATGGACCAAGCAAAGATCCTATTTTCGTATGACTACTTAAGGGAACCCTACCTACTCAACAGTTTTTCATGTACATGTATTTATTTTTTTGTTCAGTTATATATTTTGCGCTGCTTTTGCTAAAATACACTTTATAAAAAGTGGCGTCCAAAAGACACTTGAAAATGTAATGCACATAATCATCCCGTTAAATCCTTGCACTCAAAATTGATCTTAAAATATCAGACTTGGTAAAATAGTGCGAAATCGAAGAAACGTAAAAGTGTGTTCGTACACGTATTAAGGGGCATTAAGGGGGGGGGTAACTCTCCGAAAGTCCCCTATTCGGCTAAAAATTATGGACTTTGAGTTGTGGCCATTTGTGAGGCTACGTGGTGAGATCAGGCGCTCAAATACAGAAATTGGAGAAACAGGCATGTTTCCTCAGGATAAATTGGAAATTTTTATTGAATTTTTATTTTTTAGCTCAACCCCTTTTATGTCCATATTAAAACACATTTCCGTGTGAATTTTACTGAAAAACACTGATTAAAGGCAAAAAATAATGTCATTTCAAGGACTTTTTAGCTATTGGAATTACAAAACTTTGGCGGCCATTTTCTCGCTGATTTCACCTCTGAAATGGGGCTACCTCACTTCTTTCAATCGCAAATATCTTGAATTCTATCCAAGATAGATGGGTATTTATTTAATTGAAAGCAAGGCAATTAAATCAGCTTTCAGATTATACAAATAACTTCACATGGCCAAAAATTGACGAGCGCCTGATTCCACCACGTCGAAACACAATAATATTTTAGCTTCTTCGACCTCTCTACAACTATTTCATCACATAAGAACCCCCTAAATCCTTATTTCTTCCCATATCGAGCATGTTTGTCATCACTATTTCCTCATAAAGTCAATCTTTTTTTTCTTTATGGCCCGTTTTCTCAAACGTGGTTTTTCTATACTTTTTAAAGTAAATCCGCCATTTTTCGTCTAAACTTCATGAAATCTTTACAGAATGAAGAGAAGCAGGAATACAAAACATTTCTCTGTTGAATTTTTCCTATATGGAAAGGAGTTTTGTTGGTGGCATCTGGAGTGTTGATTTTCACAGATTTTTTTCTTCTTCAAACGTGAACACTACCTCAGGAAGAAATTCATTAAAAGAAATTCTAATTCGTTTAGGAAAAATTCAACAAACGAATTTGTAGATCTAATGTTTGCTAAAATGCATGCACCCC